ATCTATCTATCTATCTATCTATCTATCTATCTATCTATCTATCTATCGTAAGGGTTTCATTAGGTACCTATGGCTGGGCTGTAACTGGCTAGCCATGAATTCACAGAGTCGTGCCTGCCCCTGCCTCTAGGGTGCTGGGTTATATTTCAATACCTATCTTAAACAAAAACAACAAAGGAAGTGATACAAACAGAAAGAAAACAAAAGTGCACAGAGCCTAGGAAGTAAAGGTCGTTTAGAATCCCAACCCAGATGTAACCATCATTTACTTTTTTTCTTTGAGGCAGGGTCTCATATAGCTCAGGCTGGCCTTATGCTGGTTAGGTTCCTTCTTGTCCTTGTTTTGTTTTTTGAGACAGCGTCTCTTTAAATAGTATTGGCTATCTTGAAACTCACTATGTTGACCAGGCTAGCCTCAGTTTCACAAGTGTCCACCTATGTTACGTCCCCAGTGCTGGGATTAAAGGTATGTGCTACCGTACTTGGCCTGTGCTGTTCATGTTTCATTGTCCACTGGATACAGCCTGCAGTCATCAAGGGAAAGTGAGACTCAAATGAAGAATTAGGTCGGATTTTTCCATTTCAGAGTCTGAGAGGTATCATCTTTGTTGATGATTGATGGAAGGGCAGGGCATAGCCCATTATGGGCCATACCATGCCTAAGCTGGTACAAGAAAGAGAGCAGTGAGTGAGCCAGCAAGCAGCCTTTTCCTATGTTGTGCCCTTCAGTTTCTGCTTGAGTTCCTGCCCTGACTTTCCTCAGTGATGAACTGTGTCCTGGAATATAAGCCCAATAATCTCTTCCCCTCTCTAAGTTGGTTTTGGACAGAGTGTTTTTATCACAGCAACAGAAAAGCAAACTAGAGCATCCTTGAACTCTTGATTCTCTTGCATCAACCAGCAAACACTACACATCACTCAGCCCATCACACTTAGCTTTGTCTTTATATTTATGTTTTTATTTTGTTTGTGCCCATGTGTGTGTGGAGATCAGAGGACAACTGTGAGAGCTGGTTTTCTCTTCTACCCATTTAGGCCTAGGGATTGAGCTCAGATTATCAGGCCTGATGGCAAACACTCTTACCCACTGAGCCATCTTGCAGGCACTGATTATTTTAAGATAAGGTCTCAAACTGTAGACCAAGCTGGCCTGGAACACTCAGCATTCCTCCTTTTGAATGCTAGGATTAGTTATGAATTGCTAGGCCCAGCTCACTGTCATAGTCTCCTCCCCACCCTCTTCATTTTTCAAAACAGGGTCTCACTTGTACCCTACTATGACCTTGAACTTTGCTCATTTTACTCCCATCTCCCAAGTGCTGAGGCTACAGGCAAACGCTAACATGCCTGGCTTATGGAATCCAGGGCTTCATGAATGCCAAGCAAGCACTGTACCACCTAACCTGAGACCCCATCTTCACTATCTATTTCTTCATGAACATTGTTACTTTATGCATATTATGTGCAAGAACAATGATAGTCACACCATTTTACAAATACGGGTTTTACAAACATTATGTATGACTTTTTTTTTTTTTTTTGGTAATACTTTTCCTTTCAATGTTTTCTTAGTTCAGAGAGTGTCTGTCTCCAAGGAGATACTATTGGAACAATCTTTTTTTGTTTTGTTTTTTTGTTTTTGGTAACAGGGGAGAGCTTTAACACAGTCCCCCATTATTATAAATAATGCAGTTGAGTTTTCTGAATTTGGGAAAACCACAGAATTCAGCAAATCTCCAGTCAAATGGATGAATATCACTCAGGAAAACCAACTTGAGATCATGATATTTCCCCAACTAGGTAAAATGACAACTTAAAAAAAATATATATATACACACAGACATATATTATTCTATATATGTGTGTATATATATTATATACATATATTACGTACATATATTATATACATATATATGTGTATTAATATATTAATATATTAATACACATATTAAACAACATTTTTAAACAGTTATTTATGTGTGAAGAAGCACATGCATGGTGTGTGTGAAGGACAGAAGACAACTTGGGGAAGTTGGGAGTTTGTTCTTTGGAAAGAACTCAAGTCATCAGGCTTAAAGGCAAACATCCTCACCTACTGAGCCATCTGAACCATCTGAGCCATCTTGCTGGCCCATGGGCAACTATTTTGATTTCCTCTCTCTTTCCAAGGGTATATTTTTATTATGTATGTGTATACACGTGCTCCTGCCGGCCAACAGCGTCAGATTCCCTTGCAGCTGAGTTATAGGCAGTTGCAAGCTACCTGACATGGGTGCTGGGAATTGAGCTCAGGTCCTCTGGAAGAGCAGTATGTGTTCTTAATCACTGAGCCATCGCTCCAGCCCCATTTCTCTCTCTTTAAAACAAACACACAAACACACAGACCCACCAGGGGCTGGAAAGATGGTTCAGCAGTTAGTGATACTTGTTGATCTTGTAGAGTACTTGGCTGAGTTCCTGGCACCTACAGGGCTGCTCATAACTGTCTCTAACTCCAGTTCCCGGGATCCCATGCCACTTTTTGGCCTCCAAGAGCACCAGGCATTCAAGTGATACACAGATATACCTAGGCAAAACACCAAAACATTAAATAAAACTTAAAATCTTTTCCTCTTTCTTCCTTCTTTCTCTAAATTTTGACAGTCTCATATAGCACAGGCCTCCAATTTGTTAGGTAGTTTAGGATAACCTTGAACTTCTTATGTCTTGTCTCTAACTCCAAAGTGCTGGATTGTAGGTGTGTGTGACCATGCTCAGTTTTTGATCCTTAAATTCATCTAGATCCACTTGGCTCTGCCTCCATATGTGTAATTAATGGACCACCCATGCCTGGATTTTGCTTTTATTTTTGAACAATTTTCCCAGGCTCACCTCATAATCCCTGTGTAGACTAGGCTGTCCTAGAAATCAAAACTCTTCTGCTTCAGCCTCATGAGAGCTGGAATTACAGGTGTGTGACGTCATGCTTTAGGAGAGTCTACTAGAAACAGGCTTCTGAAAGTTTGTGTCACCAAGTATACAGCCCCTTGAATGCTACTCCCTGAGGCCATGATGAATTGTTTACATGTCATCAGGTTTGGTCCCAAGTCCCTTTACCCACTGAGCCATCTCCCTATCCTTAGACCCCCGCTTCTTAAAATGTGGATTTTGACCCCCCCCCCACATGGATCATGTAACTGAAGGTAGCAAGAGTAAATGGTTTCTGAGCTGCAACAACCAAAACCAAAGGGCAGAGGGCTTAGACGTCAGGAGCGCTGATTACTTTTCTGGAGGAACTTCATTTCCCAGCCATCCACACGACAGCTCACAACCTTTCCAGGGGATCCTCTTCTGACCTTCTCGGGCACCCACAGGGTGTACACACAAACATTTAGGCAAAACATGCATACACAAGAAACATTTATTAAATGTTAAATATGAACCAAGATTAATTCTCTCTGTTCTCATTTTAAAAAAAAATGGTCAGGAGTGATGGCACATGCCTTTAATCCTAGCACTCAGGTGGCAGAGGCAGGAGGATCTCTGAGTTTGAGGCCAGCTAGGTCTAAGCAGAGAGACCCTGTCTCAAAAAACAAAAGCAAACAGACAAACATCAAAGATTTGGGGCTAGAGAGATGGCTCAGCAGTTGAGAACACTGGCTGCTCGTCAAGAAAACGTGGGTTCAATTTTCAGTACTCACAACTCCAGTCCCACAGGATCTGACACCCTCTTTTGGTTTATGCAGGCAAAACTCCCATACTATCTATCTATCTATCTATCTATCTATCTATCTATCTATCTATCTATCTAT